CCTTTTTTAAAACAAAATGATCAATAAACTGTCATTTTTAAATGTTCAACTAGGAAAATTGTTGACATAGGAAAAATATCAATAGAACAATTTTCAATGTCCAATTTGCTCCATTTGCAGATGCTGAACATAGTGAATAATAAAATCTGACAAACTGCAATGATGAGTTCCTTTCCATTTATGATACTTTATTACACAATGCACAATATTATAACAGGTTTACCGTCATTTTTATATAATCAACTAACAATATTGTTAAGAAGCAGAAAATGTCAAAACTACACTTTTACATATCTTATTAGTTTCATAATGAGACTGTTAACATGCCTAAGAATTAAATCTGAAGAAATAACAATTATATACAAAAATACAGAAAATGCACAGCACTTCTGGTGGATGGGAGTAAAAAATTTTGACTCCTGAAAATAAAAAAAGACTCATATTCTAGTCATTTACTCCCTGATGATGGTGACTGACAGTCACAGAAATATTGGAGGTAAAACCTACATATTTTATAAGCTCTTGATAAAAAGAAAAACAATAATTTAAATAGACTCATATTCTGTAGTGTCAGTGAGTCAATGACTCGTTCCAAATTGTAAATAAAACACTGATTATCCCTTTAACTATTTTTTAAAGATTTCACTTGATTTTTTATGTGTTTACCTCAAGTAACTGCTGTAATTTATGTCTCAATTGAAAGATATTGATTAAAATTTATTTTGACTGTTATATGCAAAAAATAACAAATTCCATTCGTAATGCTAATTTTCACATTGTTCAAGTTTAATGAGCTATAAAATCATGAATTAAAAAAATACAGATAAATCTTTTACAAATTCTTATCCCCTGAAGTCTCTTCTTTCAGAAAATGCAACTTTTGATTGATTTTTGTACATATGAAAATTTCATGCCCAGGACACAAATACCACAGAATGGCCCTACAACTGACAGAGCCGCAGCCTGTGACTTCTATTTTCTTGAAAACGCACATAATAGTAATGACACTAAAGACAAAAGGCCGACGTTCCCACAATTGACAACCAAAACAGAAAACAATCACACTGATTTTCCAACACAAGCTGCACTTCAGTCCTATGAAACTTTTCAGTAAGGTTGAGTATCATAAGTAACATGGTTTCCCTCTATAATGGTTATCCTGGCAGCAGTGTCCTAAATAGGGTTTTCTTCAACTTTTATGCAATATAACATAATGCTTAACAGCATAATGACCATCAATTTTTAATTTAATAATAAAGTAAAAATATCATGGATATTCAGAAAATGTGACTAGCAATGGTATTCAAGCCAATGGAAGTTAAAAGACTAAGTCACACCTTGAAAATGTCCATATGTGAAAATTTTGATTCTAACAAAAAACTATATTTATAATTTCCATGAAATTGAACCAATATAACAGGTTTTCCAACTGAAGCTATATTTTAGTCCTATGCTACATTTCTGTAAGTGTGAGAAGAGTAAGTGACTTGGTTTTCCTTTAATGGTCACTATTGAGGCATTGTCTAAAATGGGGTTGTCTTCAATTTGGGTGCAATATTACATAATGCTTAACAGCATAATGACCATCAATTTTTAATAATAAAATAAAAGAATCATGGATATTCAGAAAATGTGACATGGAAAGGTCTTCAAGGCCATGGAAGTTCAGAGTCACACCTTCAAAATGCCAAAATGTAAACAAGAGATAACTGTACTGAAATGATTTTCTTTCCACTTTCAATACCTCTTTTTACATATAACAAAATAATAAATTTACTGTCATTTTTAAATGATCAACTCCTGTGAATTTCAAGACAATTGGCCAATTGATTTTCCTTGAAATGTGTTATCGGTGTTGCATATATATGCTGAAAAAAGTGAAAAAACAGCCTAACTTTTTATAAAAAAGGCCCGATCATGCTGATTTTGGAACGTGACCAGCGTATTATGAATATTCATCAGTTCTGTAAGTTTCAAGCCAAAAGGTAAAATGGTTTTCCACTTATCATGTTATCGATTAAAGTGCACAGCGACAGCAATGACGGCGATGCAAGATGCAGGTGACGTCTTAATGTACAGACACATCTGTGTCTGTACATAAAAAGCGCAATATATAATTTTGCTGAAACAATACTAATCAAATGCAAACACGTCTGACCAATTTTCACATTTTTTTTTCAAAGTTTGTTAAATTTAGGTTTTTTAATAAAATGAATCTTTCTGTTATAAATTGACCTTTTATGTAATTTAGGGGTGAAGAAAGACACATACATTCTTTCTTTTTGAAACTTTTGTAAATATAAAATTTTGTACAAAGAAAAATAAAATCAATTGGGCTGTTTGGGTTTATTGGATAGCTGAAAAGGATGCATTTTTCATTAAAGGTAATGTTTTTATTTGTTCTGGTTAAGATGTAAGCTTTCAATTCTTCCCAAATATTCTTACTAGACGCGCAATGAAAGAAAGTATGTGGAATGTCTTCCTTGGCAACACCACAAAGAGAACAGACGTCACCATTCTCAAGCCCTATAGTTTTTAAATATTATTTAACAGGCAGGAGCCTATTATTATGCAGTATTGGAACCACTGCAGTTTGGTGTTCTTTGTTGTTTCGAAACAGTTCTTATATAGACATCTTTCCAATGTGCATCAAAATTTAACCTTGTGTTCCATTTTTTTTCGTTTGTCACATGTCTAGCTGCCACAAATTTTATATTGCAACAAATTAATGTCCCTTCAAATTTTGTTACGAGCACCTAACTAAATAATGTAAACATGTTTCTCTTTTTCACATATCGATAATGCAGCATCAGCCAAACAAAGCCGTGTATTTGTTTACTCGATCAGCACTGACAGTTAGGTGTTCTAAGATGTCCTAACTAGTCATGACCAGTTTTCTTGTTACGTTAGTCATTCATTTATGCGGTCTCACTATCAGTCTTACTTGAGACGTTTCACGTAGATTTTTGGTTTATCAATTCAAGGTGACTCTAATGAGTCCAGTGTGGTGTCAGTGATGTCAGTGATTGCAGAGAGCTCTTACCTTTCACTTGGTTTTACTGTCTTAATAACAAATTCTACTGAATATATTCTATCCATTTTTGCAATTATTTATTACAGCACATATAAAGCAATTAATTCCGTAAAACTCACCATCTGAGATACTATCAAGCATTTTCTTTTCGAGCTCCGAAAGACATCCCTTCATGCCCGCCATGTTGGCTATTCTCGTTATTTGCCTGATAGTAAAATTGTTCAAATTGCATGGTGCTCGGCACACAGTAATAAAAGTGAATATGGACAGGCAGATTTATAACTATAACCTAATCATGTTTTCTCTGGAGTGATGACGTGCTGACATTTGTAAGATCTTATTCTTTTATTTTGGCACTGCGATTTAGAATCACGGAAGCTCGTTTACCGGAAGCGGAACCTTTGTCACCCCCCCCCCCCCCACGCACACACACATACACAATTCGTTTGCACAAGATACACAAGATCTATCTTCATTACTTGCGAAAAATCGCAAGTTTATTTGGTCTGCTCGTACAAGTTGAATCGGTCCAATCACTACGGTAGATTGTCGCTAAAGTGCAATCAGTGGAATCAGCTTAAAATTAATCGTCTGACATCAACTAAGAGCTAGCCCATGTCCACCTAGCATCCCTGAACACGGAAGGTAAAAAACATACGCACCTACAGCAGCTTCAAGAAAGATTTTAAAAGAGAAATATACATACAATTAATCCATACACCCAAAGCTACATACCTATGAAAATTCAAAATAAATGCACACAATCTGGCAATAGAAAAGGAGAGACACACATGAACCCTAAAATACCGGTGTAACATGAAAATCTGACTCCCATGAAAATCTGACTTCCCCAGTCAGATTTTCATTATGAAAATCTGACTCCCCCCCCCATGAAAATTTGACTCCCCCTCCACAAAACTTCATAAATCTTCTTTCATTTGAGTAGGCCCTATATGACTGTGATCTTGTAGTATGTAAAATGGAGGATACATTGGCACTTTTTTAGTTTGCAGGTGAAAATTTTCATGAAAAAGTAAGAAAATTAAAAATGTGCATTTTATCACCCAATAACTCCCCTATGAAAAAGCTATCTATTTAATATTTGATGATCATTTCAAAACTTTTCCTTAAATTTTACTTTATGAAGATTATATTGCAAATATTTGAAAGACTAAGGGGAGTCAAAATCCTACTGGTACAAGAATGCAAATTTATTTTCCATTTAGAATTATTAATCCCCATTTTTCATTCACCTCTGGGAAAAAATGGGAAAAACAACAGCAAATATAAAATAGGGCCTTTTTCTAATGGGAGTCCACAGGAGTCCAAATCCCATGCAATATGAAAATGAAGATTTTCATTTTTTTTTTTCATTTATTTTCACTCAGTATTTTACCATTCAAACTTTCAAATATTTCCAATATATTTTTCATAAAGTATCCTAAAAGAAAAGATGTCAGAATGATCATCAAATATCAAATAAATAGCTTTTTCATAGGGGAGTCATTGGGTGTTAGAATACAAATCCTTAATTTTTCTCATGTGTTTTTTTTTTCACCAAATTTTTTTACCATCAAACTTTCAAGTACTTCAATATAAACTTCATAAAGTATCCTAAAAGGAAAGATGTTGAAATGGTCATCAAATGTCCAATAAATAGCTTTTTCATAGGGGAGTCCTTGGGTGGTAAAATACAAATCTTTAATTTTTTTATTTTTTCATGAAAATTTTCACCTGCAAACTTGCAAAAAGGGCCAATGTGTCCTCCATCATGCCTACTACAAGATCATTTGATTTACTCAAATTAAATGAGATTTATGAATGTTTTTTTTTTTTTTTTTGGGGGGGGGGGGG